GCTCTGACTGTAGGCAGCTTCTAAGGACTAACTGAAGATGCTCCATTTAGGGCCCGCAGCAGCACATAAAGGTGATTTCTAAGCCATGCTTTCTTCAGATGCTCTGGGATTTCACCGTAGACTGGAGAATTTCCTTGAGGGGAACCTATGTAGCCAAACCTCACTTAGCATGGCTTGGAGGCCTCTGGATGATGAGATGAGAGCGGCTGTTGCCTCTGCCCTGAAATGATGTCACCAGTCATATTGGAAAATTCAAGCCATCTTCTCTGTAAACCCTTACCCATCAGCCACACACCTCCCAGGAAGGACACTTCAGAAGCAACCACATTAAAGGGAATTTAGGGCAAGGCTGGGTGGCCAGGCCTGCCTGTTGGAGAGTGTCTACTGGGGGAGGGAGGGCTGAGGCCCGTGTGGTGTGGGAGGCCCCACTGGATATAATCAGTGGCTCTTTGTTTTGTTTTTAGTGCATGAAGAAGCTCTCTCTAGTATATATTTCCTTCTTATGTACTATTTGCAAAAAAAATAAGGTATGGGAAAGAGATACGGTTGACATTTATTTTCCAGACTACCAGAATTTACTTTCCCTCTCTTTCAGGCCTTGATGTCTTATCCAGAAATTTGATTTGATTTTAGTACTTTAAAATTAGCCACCACTTTTCAGAAATATAAACATCTCATAAATTGAGAGACTGGAGTAATTTGGTGAGGAGGCAGGGAGCCAGGAGGTCTGCTTGCCAGTCTGTCTGCCTTGCATGGTGCCTGGTTTCCTGGCCAGGCAGTGATTCAAGGAAACTCGGGCCAAACCTCTTATTATGCAGAGGGGAGACCCAGGTCCTTGGGAAAGGGACCAGACCTGTCCTGCCCAGGTAGGATCTCTTGACAAAAGCTAATAGTAGCTGGACCCAGCTGCTGGGCCAGGCCTGTTTTCCTAGCCTCTCTCCAGAAGGAGGTCTCTGAGTCCTACAGGGAGGGAGCCCAGAGCTGGACAAGGTGTAGATATCATAATAAATAATAAAAGGGACAAAGGCGATCTATGAGGAGCTTCTTTCCTTGATTCCTGAAGGTTCGAGGGACCCCTAAACAAATGGAAGCATTTCTTTCCTGGTTACTGGGTCTAGCTTACCTGTTCTAACAGTTAACTGGGGTGTAGCTACAGATCTTTAGCACTCCCTTATGAGACATGGGGATGGGGCATTTGACTCTATTCACCTATGGAATCCACTATGGTGAGAGGAAGGTGTGTGGGGGCCGAGGAGCAAGATGCTTTTTAGGCTGAGGGTTAAGGGATCTGCTGGGGAGGTCCTTTCTTTTCTCCTCCACCTCCACCTTTCTCTCTCTCCTCTCTCATCTCTTCTCATTCTCCTCCTCTCCCCTTTCTCTTCTTTTGTGCCAGTACTAGGCTTGATGCTTAGGACCTTGGTGTGTGTGTATGTGTGTGTGTGTGTGTGTGTGTGTGTGTGTTTCCCTCTCAAGGCTAGTGCTCTAGGACTAAAGCTACATCCTCACTTCCAGCTTTTTGGTGGTTAATTGGAAATAAGAGTCTCATGGACTTTTTCTGCCCAGGTTGGCTTCAAACCAGGACTCTCAGATCTCAGCCTCCTGAGTAGCTAGGTGTAAGACATCAGTGTTTGGTTCCCATTCCTTTTTATTTTGGCCACATTGGGGTTTGAAATCAGAGTCTCATGTTTACTAGGGAGATAATCTACCTCTGAGCTATGCTTCCAGCCCTCTTGTGCACTGGTTATTTTGAGATAGGGCCTCACTTTTTTGCCTAGGCATGTGCCTTTACTGCAATCTTCTCCCCTCTCCCCCCTGCCTTATTTTATTATTATCTTTTAATTGTCAAGGTGATATACAGAGTGGTTACAGTTACGTAAGTACTAAGTACACTTCTTGTCAAACTTGTTACCCCTTCCTTCATTTTTTCTCCTACTTTCCCTCCCCCCACATCCTCTTTATTTTGCAGACTCCCAGCTTCTTTCATTGAGATGAAGGTTTTTTCCCTCCCCTTTGGGATGGCCTGGAAATGTGATCCTCCTAATCTTAGCCTCTTATGTAGCAGGGATGACAGATGTTCTGCTCTGCTCATTTTATGGGCCACGTGCTGCTGTGTTTAATCTCCTCTGTTCTCTTGTCTATGGTGGAGGTGGTCTGGCTTCCATAGGCAGTTTTATCCAGGGGTAGGAAGTGAGCATCCTTGCTCTGCAAGGTCAGATCAGAGAAGAGGCCCAGAAAAGGTCTTTTTCCTTGTTCCCACTGGCCCCATGGCCAGATTCAGGCCCAGAGATGGTTCCAGGCAATATAGCTTAGTGGTTAAACATCATGTGTTGCTATAGTGCTGATACTTGTGTGACTTTGGGAAAATTACTTAATCTTTCTGAGTTCTACTTGCTCATCCCTGAAATGAGTCTAGTATTAGTGCTGTATCACAGTGCTATGAAGATGAAATACTTTAAGATAATATATGCAAACCTAAGGACAGTCACTATTATTAGTTGTGATAGTGAAAATAGACTTTATAATGGGTAGAATGTAGGGACGTGTTTCAGCTTAATAAAATGTTGGTGTGTCCCCACACAAAATACGTTGCATCACAAGGGAGGGTATTTTCTGTCACTGGAGGCATTCAAGCAAAAGAGGCCTCATGGTTGCTTCTCTTGTTGAAGCAAGAAGCCTCTGTCTGGGACAGGCACGATGCTCTTGAAAGGTCTGTGGTCCATGATTGTGGCTTACTGCTTGGCTCTACATCATCGAGATCATGCTAGAAGCTGCAAGCCTCTTGTGAGCCATGTGAATTCATCAGGGCATAAAGCAGGGAATGCCAAGGTTTGGAGGATCCTCTGTGCAGTTTATTGAACAATTTCTAGAACAGGAGAGGGCCTTGGTGAAGAGGCCAGTATATGAGGAGCAGACTAGCCAGAGTTTTCTGCTTTGTGGTGTAGGAAATTCTTTGCCAGTTTGCTTCAAGATGTGTGAGAAGCCAAGATGGCACAGACACCAGCCTGGGAAGCCTGCTTGTGTGAACTTGGCCTGAGTGGGCCTGTACTGGAAGGATCTCTTGTTTTGCTTGTCCCAGGGGCAGGACCAGCCCCCACTAGGGATCAGAGAGGAGTACATGAAGTAAATGGAAGGGGTGCAGCCACAGAGCTGTCATAGCTGTCCCTTCTGCCTACAATGCTGGTGTACCCTGGAAGACAGGCTTCCCTTGGAGGGTTCTGCAGGTCCAGAGTAGCAGATGTTCTTGGGTTTGGCCATTACTTCTTGCCTAGGCAAAGCCCGTGCTGCTGAGCCTGAGGACCTGCCTGGTCCTCAACACTTTGGGCCTCACATCTTTACCCTTCTGGTTAAGGGGTCTGGCAAGCAGTTGTCAAATTTCATGGTGCTGGACCAAACACAGCTCTCTGTTAGATTGTGTACATGAGCCTGTGAAAGAAAATCTCTCTGATGGCTGGGGGTAGGGTATAGATGTGCTGCAAGCATGGGACATAGACAGCTTGTTGAAGAGAATGAGGCTGGTGCTAGGAGCGCATAGAGCATTTGTGTACCTCTCTTCTAGCCCTTGCTCCTGCCAAAATTTGTCACATGTGCTCCTTTGGGCCAGAGCGTTCAGATTGAATTTCTTGCTTTTATAGCCTGGATCTTTTTTTTGGGTCTGGTTGTGGGGCCTGAACTCTGGGCCTGGGCGCTGTCCCTCAGCTCTTCAGCTCAAGGCTAGCACTTTACCACTTGAGCCACAGCGCCACTTCCGGCTTTTTTCTTTTTGCTTATGTGGTGCTGAGGAATCGAACCCAGGGCCTCAGGCATGCAAGGCAAGTGCTCTACCACTGAGCCACCTTCCCAGCCCCTAGCCTGGATCTTGATGCATACGTATCCCTCAGAACCACCTCTAGATGCCTGATCACACCTGTCATAGCGCCAGGCAGGATATGCCTTCTCCTTGACCCCTCTAGAAGTCCATCAACTCACAGCTAAAGGCTGGGCCTGACTTACTTGTCTCCCCTGGCCCAGGGCACATGGCAGGTATACTTTGAGCCAATTTTAACGAGCACCTCAGGACTTTTGAAAGCTGTGGAAAAGTACCTAATCGTGCAGGTCCTATATCACAGTGATGCTGTTATCTTCCCTGGGGGGGTCCTCAGCCTCTTCACCAGGTCTGTGATGGGGAACAGAAGGCGGCCTCTTGGTTGTGTGATCCAAAGTGATGTTTTTCAGTTCCATCAACAAACATGAAGAGACATGACCAGGGATGGCTGTTGCTGGGGGTGGGTGGTTAGAGGTCTCAGAGCAGGCTGAGCTGGGGAAGTGGGTGGAATTGAGCTGTTTTTAAGTGACTGCTTTTTTTTTTTTTTTTTAAAAGAAGTTCCAATGGAGTGGATCTGGTGAGCTCATAAAAACTTCCCTCAGGCCCTGCTGTGTGTTCACAGCTGCCTACCTAGTGCCTGCTAATGCAGTGGCCACTCAATAGACGTTTGTTGAATGAATGAACCAGTTCCACAGCTCTTTATTTATTAAATATTGCCTGCTATTTTCCATGCAGTGTGGTAGGTGGGTTGGCATTCTACTTTATAGAGATGATGTGGGCAGGCTTGTGTCTACGCGTACGTAGGCACACGTAGACTAACGCACATCTATTTATATGTTCCGTTCCCCCCCCCCCTTGATTATTTTCTTCATTGGTGGCTTACAAGACATTTTTGGGGAGGTTTGGCCAAAGTTACATATTTTTATAAGCAAGGCCAAACACACGATCGTTTTGAAAGGAATATTTTGATGCAGACAAAATGGGATTGAAAGCAGTGAGCTGAGCCTCCCTTTCTCTTCCCTTCACTCTTCTGCCTGAGAACTTGCTAGAATCCCAGGGTTCCCAAGGGTGGAACCTTAGGCCCTGGAGGAAGAGCCACATGTGTGTGGTCACATATATTTACATTTGCCTGTCCTGTGCTATGTACTCACTCCTCCCCCTCTCTCCCTGCTTTCTCTTGCTTACCACATCCCTGCAGGCAGGTCTCATCCGTACAGACAGCACTGACTACTTCATTGAACCTCTGCAGCGGGGACAGCAGGAGAAGGAGGCCAGTGGGAGGACACACGTGGTATACCGCAGGGAAGCTGTCCGGCGGGAGTGGGCAGAGCCTCACGAGGACCTTCACAATGAAGGTAGGTAGTGGGCAGAAGCTACTTTTGTCCACGTTTCTTGGGTAACTTTTGACATTGAGCTTTCAGTGCTTGGCCTCAGTGTACTCATCTGCAAAAAGAGCTTGGGTAACACAGCACTGTACAGCAGAATAGTCTCAACAGGGCTACTATAACTGGCGGGAGCAGAGGCTAGAGGACCACAAAAGTCTTGAACCGTAGTCCTCAGGACTCCAGTGACTCCTGGGACAGAGGGAAGGAAGGTTCAGTCTTGATGTCAAGGTTATCTCTGAGCTGAAGCAGAGGCTAGAATGGCTACTGCTGGTTCTTCCCCTCTAGAAATCAAATGTACATTGTTGGAGTCTCAGCAAGGAGGTTTGTTGAGGTCGTTGTGGGAAGTTTGTGGTGTCCAGGCAGCCTGAGACCCAATGGATCATCTTTTTTGTTTGTTTGTTTGTGTGTCAGTCATAGGGCTTGAACTCAAGGCCTGGGTGCTGTCCCTGAGCATTTGTACTCAAAGCTAGCACTACCTCTTTGAGCCACAGCACCACTTCTGGTTTTCTGGTGGCTAACTGGAGATAAGAGTCTCACAGACTTTCCTGTCTGTGCTGGCTTTGAACCAGGTTCCCCAGATCTCAGCCTCTTGAGTAGTTAGGATTACAGGCGTGAGCCACCAGCATCTGGATCCCAATGGATCACCTTTATAGCTTGCCTCTGATTCTGTCTACTCTGTGACTTGAGGCAGGGACCTTAACATCTCTGAGTCTCATGTCCCCGGCCAGTAAAGTGTGGGTAGTAAGGGTCTACCTGGTAAGGCCACTTTGTCTTGATGAGGGTGTATAGAAAATTTCCAGTGTGGCACATGATGTACAGTAGGGGCTTGATAAATGGGAGTTATTGGGAGTAGCTACAGGCCATTAGAGGGGCTATGTGCCTGGTGGCCAGCTCAGGGGTTCATATCCTGGCAGACCGTGGTTGAGTGAAGGAAACAGGGTCAGTGACAGGTGCTGGCTTTGGGCCAGCTTCATAAGCAAACTTAACTTTGTCACGAGGCCCCTTTGAATAAGAGGCAATGACGAGGGCTGGGTGGAATCTGGTCCTGAGTGGACACACCCTGTACCAGGACCCTGCAGGGCTGGGCCTCTTCGGAAGGAATGCCTGGAAGCTGGGTGTCCCCTATACAGTTGCCTCCCTTGGAACTCCAGCTGCTCCCCAAGTGTCACTTGTAGAGAAGCAGTGGAGGGGGCTGAAGTGCTGGGGGTGGATGCAAAAGGTTGGGAGGGGACTCAGAGGATGGGGGTGGCTTCAGGAGCTGGCTGGTGTTGGGCACTGTCCCTTCCACATGACTGAGAGATTGTTATGCCTCCCACTGGGCCTGAGCACTGTCCCTGAGCTTGAGCCACCAGTGCCCAGCACAAAAGACCTTTTTGATCTCTCTTTTTGGGGAGAGGTCCTGGAGGAATTGTGGTCTTTTGAGGTAGGGCTCTAGGGAACTCTGGGCCCCTGACCATGAGCTTGGAGGTGGACTCTCCATCTGCCACACAGATGATAGCTGGGGAGCTAAGCACTTGCAATTGGAGTCTAGGGAAAATATGGCAGACAGTCTGTGTTTCAAAGCACCTGGATGAAGCTCCTGTGTGCCAGCCTGTGTGGGGCTGGGGCTTGTTCATCTATGGTCCCTTATCAAAAACACAATCAAAATCTTTTTCTTTTTTGTCTGTTGTGGGGCTTGAACTCTGTACCTGAGCACGGTCTCTCAGCTCTTCAGCTCAAGGCTAGGGGGCTAGGGCTCTACCACTTGAGCCACAGCTCCACTTCCTGTTTTCTGGTGGTTAGTTGGACATAAGAGTCTCACGGACTTTCCTGCCCTGGCTGGCTCTGAAACGTGATCCTCAGATCTCAGCCTCCTTAATAGCTAGGATTATAGGCGTGAGCCACCGTTGCCCAGCTGGAAGACTTTCTTTAACATGGTACCTCTGGCTGAAGGCAGCAGGGGTGGGGGTGGGGAGAGCAGCCTGGAGGGGGATATGCTGGCCTTTGAGGGTCCTGCCCATCCTGGGCTCCCATCTCTGCTTGGCCCCATCCTATTCATCTCTTTATCTCCTGGTCTTGAACACCCTGACCACTCCCTACAGGATGCAGGTCCTGGAGGACAGATATCAAGGGGTCACCTCACCTTAGTGCCCTTCTCCCCGTAAGGATGTCTAGTTTGTCTGGGGGAAATTTGGGCAGTACCAGAGACTCCACCATACAGCTTGCTAGCTGAGCTGTGTCAGTGGAGGGGCTGCCTGACCCTGGGCTCTGTTGTGAAGGGCTTCTGTGTCTACTGTGAACTGGGGCTGGAGAACACTTGTCCTCTTGACACTCAGGTACAGCTTCAGGGGCTGTTTCCCGAATGGAGCATACATGTGCACATACACTCATCCCCACATACACAGCAAGTACACAAGCAATCCCTGCGTACCCTACGCTCTCATCCCTACTCATCTACACCCTACCCACATTTGTTTCCCCACACATGTTCACATTCACCCCACATCCGCATCCACCTATGTTCGTGTTAACACACCTCACACGCACTCACACACATCACTGGGCCTCAAAGAAGAGATGAGAGATGGAGCCCATCTCAGTGCAGAGCTCAGACTCCAGATGTAAACTGCTGTATACCAGGTCCTCAAGTGTTCCCTTAAACCCTGCTTTGGCTTCAAGCTGTGTTCTGAATTCCCCTCTACGGGTCCCCCTCCCCCGCCTCCCATTCTACCCAGGCTTGCTCCTTACTTCCCCCATGCCTCTCCTAAGAAGAGAACTAGGTGTGAACAGGCCCGTGCTCCTATAGCTAGAGCTCTGGCTCTCAGCCAGCCTGGGGCTCAGGGCTGCTACTACTGATATGGTGGTAGTGATTTCTTTTGAAGACTTGAGAAAAAACAACCCAAAACAAAACAAACCATTTTAACAGTTTTTAAGTATGCAATTTGGGGATATTGTGGTGTTATTTCACTTTATCTGTATCATTTACGGGGCATTTCCATTGCTCCATAAAACTCTCTGTACCCATTAGCAATCCCTTCCTTTTCCCTTCCCCGCCCTTAGTCAGCTTCCTATTCCTGTAGATTTCCTATCCACAATGTTTCCTCCAAATGGAATCATGTAATGTGAATTGTTAGCCACTGGCTTCTTCTTCTTAGTGTGTTTCAAAGTTCACATGATGGCACGCCATTTTTATGACACAGTAATATTGTACCACCTGTTAGTTGTCCATTCCTCTATATAGATATTCATATTCAGGTGGCTCCTGTATTGGGCCTATGGTGATCATGCTATAGGTGATCACAATACTTTTTTTTTTTTGGTCGGTCGTGGGTCTTGAACTCTGGGCTTGGGCACTGTCCCTCAGCTCTTCAGCTCAAGGCGAGCGCTCTACCGCTTGAGCTACAGCGCCACTTCCGGTTTTCTGGTGGTTTTATTGGAGATAGGAGTCTCACGGTCTCTCCTGCCCGGGCTGGCTTTGAACCTTGATCCTCAGATCTCAGCCTCCTGAGTAGCTAGGATTACAGGCGTGAGCCACCAGCGCCCGGCAGGTGATCACAATACTTACTGTGAATGCTCGCACCTGAGTTTCTTGGGAACATATGCACTGTTCCCATGGGTATAGACCTAGGAGTAGAATCCTTGGGCCATGTGGTAACTTGTCATTCAAGGTTTTAGGGGAGTGCCAACTGTTTCTTCAAGGCAGCATCATCATTTTCCATTCAGTTGGGGTTTCTAGAGTGGTTCCTTCCCCTCAAATCCCCTCGGGTGCTGAGAGGGAGTTCTAGGTGAGCCCTAATAGGGTGTGGTAACGGAGGAGGGAAATTGTGTCATTAATCACTGTGGAACTTAGATGAGTCAGGTGACCGCTTTGAACCTCCTTTGACAGAGCTGGCAGGGAGGGCTTCTAGAAGTCAGGTTTAGTGTTCTACTGCTACTGTATCCAGCTTCTGCTTATAGGCTGACGTGACTGTTATTTACTCTCCTGCTCCATGGGGAGAGCCCTTGCTCCTTGCTCTCCTCAATGAGCAACCTTCCTCTTTTTTCCCAGGGATTTGTCTTGAGCTGTGGGCTTACCACTGAGGCTGTCATGTCCAAAAGGTTTCAGAATTCACATTTTTGGATTAGGGTGCTCAGTTGGCAAAGTCTAAGTAAAGGGACACTTCATCTGCATGTGGCTACCATCAAATTCTTATTATGTCTCCCTTCCTGTCTTGGTTCCAGCCTTTGGCCTGGGTGACCTTCCCAACCTGCTAGGCCTGGTTGGGGAGCAGCTAGGTGACACAGAGCGGAAGCGGCGACATGCCCAGCCAGGCAGCTACAGCATTGAGGTGCTGCTGGCAGTGGACGACTCGGTGGTTCGTTTCCATGGCAGGGAGCACGTGCAGAACTACGTCCTCACCCTCATGAACATTGTGAGTGTCCCTGTGTCCTTGGGGGGGGGGGGGGCGGACACCAGCGCGATGCAGATACACCATCCTGTCCCAGACACGCCAGTTTTTCAAGGAATGTCAGAAATGCAGCTTTCTAAAAATATTTGTTTTAGAAGGTCCTTGTGGAAAATTTAACCCCCCAGTTTTTAAATGTTAAAGGAACGGGCCACCATGAATGCAAACAGAACATAGCCACATGCCACATTTGGCCTGTGGGCTCCCAGACCACCTCTCCCAGCCAAAGGGCAGAGAGGACGGAGAGGAGGGAGAGCAAGAAGGAGGGGGGAGGGGAGGGATGGTGTAGAGCTAGTGCACACTTGCCTGCAACTGGGTGCCTGCCTCTGGGACTCTGGATGGACAGGAACCAGTCTGGTGAAATGAGACCTTAGGTGAAGATAGCACAGGTTCAGGCCCAATGTTGGGGAGAGGGCAGCACCCCAGGCTCTCTCACAGAAATCCCAGAGGAGAAGGTGGTGAGGAGTTGGGGGTCAGGCCTAGCTCAGTAGAGATGCTGTGGCATCCAGACAGGAAGGAGGTAAGTGATGGCATGAAAGAGCAGATGGCATGTTGGCAGGAGGGGCAGGGCAGGGTCATACAAGTCCGTCTGGAATTTGAGAACTGAGAAGGGATGCGTTGCATATATACATACATGTACACACATTCACACACACACACACGTGCACATTCATGCACAGGGTGCCCGGAGAATCTGAGTGGTGCCCTTTTTTAGAAAGCTGAAGTTTGTGGCCAACCATGAGCCATTCCTGACCCTCAGGCCAGGGTCCTCGACCTGTTGGAAGAGAATAAAGAAGCTGGCTGACTGCATTCTCATGTAGATTAAAAGATAATTTCAGATTGGTCAGGGCTATGGCAAAATCCCCAGAGTAACACAGACAGGCTTTGGAGGCTCTGATGGACATGACTAATTACAAACTATGTAAAGGAAAATATTAGTGTCTCAGCTGGAGCCCAAGCCCTGACCATGCCCTTCTTGCCTTGGTGACCTGGGAGAAGAATGACTAACCTAACCTTCTCGAGAATCTCATTCTGTGCTTGTGTTTATTATTATTTCAATTAAAAAATCTGTTTGTGTTTGAGTGCCTGTACTGGGGATTGAGCTCAGGGTCTGGGTACTGTCCCTGAGTTTTTGTGCTCAAGGCTGACACTCAACCACTTGAGCCAAAGCTTCATGTCCAGCTCCCTTTTCTGTGATAGTCTAATTCTGACTGACTGCTCTGTAGGACAAGTTCTGTTCACTAGCAACATGTGGCCGATTCCTATTCCCATAGATCTGTGGCCAGAGATAAAAGAATTTTCTCTTTCAGTTCCCAAGCAAAAATCCCTGGGCAGGAAGGACTCTGATTGGCATAATTTGGATCATATGACCAATATTTGTACAATCAGTTTTCTAAAGGTAGATGAGGTTAGGGTATAGACATAGGCAGACACTGCCATTTATGTGGAGTACAATGGTTTACCTTCCTACTTTTTCATAGTGTTGTCTTTTCTTGGATTTATTATTATTTATTTATTAATCTACACTAAATATGTGTAGAATATTTAGAACGTGCATAGCATTGGGTAATATTGTTCAGAGAGAGAGAGAGAGAGAGAGAACTTTATCTTTGTGTATATGTGAGTAAGTTAGTCTTTGAGCCTCTGTAAAGTCCTTTGTCTTACTCTTTTAGAACTCCAACAGCACCCAGCACAGTCTCTGAGACCTGATAGGTGTCTCAGACTGGTGTCTGAGAGAAGCAGGTGGCTGGTGTCCACATTCATGGGCAAAGGAAAAAGCAACAGAGTTCTGTCTGTAATGCTGGCATGGGCAAAAGTGTAGAGCTCAAGATCAGCCTCAGGGACAGAAACTCCAGGGAAGGGCAGGTTGTCTGGCCCTGACATCTATCTCTGTGTGGATAGATGTTTCTTCTTCCCTTCTTAGAGTCTAACTGGTGGCTTGGGACCTAAGAGGAAAGACTCACTTGTGGAGCTGGTTGAAGAACAGATGAAGGGAAGGATGGCCATGAATGTGCACATGCCTACCTGCCTGCAGCACTTGACCACCCAGACTCTACAAACCTCAGGCCCAGCCTAGGGCCACACAAGCTGAGTCTAATCTCATTGGTCAAGCTGAGAGCTAGGTTGGGCCATAAAGAAAAGAGCAATGGAGATGCCTGAGAGGACTGGGCACCTGGTCCTGCATCCAAAGCTGGGGCTGACAGTGCAGGAGTGTGAGCCAGGCTGGGTGGCAGTTCCAGGCTGCATCTCGTTGGACAACTATAAACATTTTTGCCCATGGTTTCTGCCCCTCCTCCCTGGCTAGCACAATGGTACTGTCCATCTTGCAACCAGATATCCTCTCTGATCTTGCCAGGCCAGCCCTGGCCCCGGAAATCGGGATCAGATGTGGTCACAGGCAGATAGGCAGGAGCAAAGAGACACCCTTTTCATTGGCTTTGTGGAGTCTCCAGGGGAATCCGTGCTCCATGAAGACAGATGCCTCACACAATGGACAGGAAGAGCTGAGGGTCTCCTGGGTAGGAGAGGCCATCCGCTGCCCATCCGCTCACCATCTGTCTGGTTGTCCTCTGTGCCCAGGAAGCTATAGCCCCTTCGACTTACCCCAGTGTCCAATGCAACAGTCTCTTAAAGTACCATCCATCCTGGTGGTGTGAGCTCCCCTCATAGGAGCTGGGCCCACCTACGAAGCTCTGCCTTAACTGAACCCATCCCAGGCCCTAGATAATTTTCAGAAAAAGATGAAACATAACTTGCCTATAAAATTAAAATGCTAACAGTGGTCTGATAAGGTCTGTGCCCAGGAGAGGTAAGGGAAAGTATGAATGCATTGAGGGCTGTCCTGTCTTCCAGGTTTCATTTGCACTCATTTGAAGATGTACTGTAAAAGTAAACTTAGATTTTTTTCCCCTCATTTCTTTCCTCACTTATCTTTTTCTGCATCAGTTTATCCATGTTACAGGGTCACTTTCCCTAAAATACTTTCAAATCTCAGAACCAGAAAACCATCTAAGACTTTAAAATTATTATTATTTTTAACTTAATTACTTTTTTTTAAAATCGTAACAGTACTGGAACTTGAACTCTGGGCCTCTCACTTCCTCTCAGCTTTTTCACTCATGACCGATAATCTACAACTTGAACTGCCTCTCCACGTGCGGCTTTTTTGCTGGCTAAGAGTCTCTAGGTTTTGTCCACCTAGGCTAGCTCTGTACTGATCTTCAGATTTCAGCTTCATGAGTAGCTAGAATTACAGCTGTGAGCCCGCAGTCCCTGGCCATCTAAGAGCTTTGAAACACGTGGACAAGTTATTTCAAGCATTTAGTGAGCACCTTTTGGGTGCCTATTATTGTAGACAGATTTGTTTCCATTCTAGAAGCTTTGCTCTGACAGCAAAAACAAGCCTCAGCCCCTTGGAATATCAGGGACTCATGAAGATGATGCTGGAGGGGTTTAGAGGAGGTGGCCATCCTGTAGATGGGACTAGAGGAAGGCTTTCTGGATAGGGTTAGAGGCAGATGAGACAGCCTTGGGGAAAAGGGCTAGGTGAGGAGCTAGCAGGAGGATGTGGAGGGCTGTGCATACAGGATGACTGAGGCAGATCAGGCTATGCAGGGGCAGGTGACCACCTGTGGCAGAAAAGTCCCTAGGATGGTGGCATGGGCTCTTTTCTATGGATGTAGGAGGAACAGTTTGGATGATAGTTCCTCAGGTAGACTGAAGGAGGAGAGGACAGACAGGAGGCCGGTGGAGGCTGGGATGGGCCAGTGGAAAGGTCCAGGAGAGAGGGACCAGTCTCTCATGTCTGCCAGGGAGCTGAGCAGTTTACAGATGGCTTGAACCCCTTTGGCTGTCCATCCCTGTTGCCTCCATGGCTTGGAATGGCTAAGCAACTTGCTCAGAGTCCACCAGCCCCTAAGTAACAGAGTCAGACTTTGACTCTATATTTGCCTGATTACAAAATTTATGCTCTGTACCCTTCCACTGCCTCTGTTACAGAATGTGAGGACAAGCAGCTAGGGGGACTTGGGGCAGAGGAGGAGAAAGGAAGACCCTGGTTTGCAGCTGGGAGATGGAAAGAATGGTTTGACTTTTCAGGACAGTATCTGCCTAACATGGGTCTGATGGAGCACAGACTCTGTGCCAGACCCTACTCCAAGTGCTCCACATCTGCCCTCGCCTTCGTCTTCCTGTCTCCACAAGGTATATTTCCTCCTCACCGTAGGTGAGTGCAGGGGGCTCAGAGGGGTGAACTCATGGGGCAGCAGGAAGTGCAGAGCTCCAGGTGTCTCTGATTACACACAGACAGGCCAACTTGGGGCATAAAGGCTGCTGCGTTTTGCAAGTAGGTCATGGGGGATAAAAGCTGAGCATTGTGAACGTGTGAAAGGGACTCTGTTGGGCTGGGCGGGTCCATGCCTGTGCTCTCTGAGCTACTCTGCACAAACAACCTGAGTATGATGGGGACTGAGCAGCTTGAACCCCATGGAACAGCCGGGGCCAGCCCACAGGCTCCATGGAGACTTGAAGAAGTGTGCTGGTTAACGGGCAGTGGACATACCAGGGTTACATGGTCATGAACTTCGGCAAGAGGAAATGAGGAAGGATACTCAACATCCTCAGCCTTACTCTGCCCCAAGAGAAGCTGTGGCCTCCAAGTCCTCTCTGGTGTCTGTGGAGGCAGATCCTTCTAGACTAGCACACAATGGAGCCTAGTCCCCTGGCCAGATCTATGTTCCAACAGGGCCCAGGCCTGATTACTCTATGGTAGGTCAGCCTGAATCCCAGGGTGAGCATGATCTCAAGCTGTGGATTGCTGATGTCTATCTAGTCACACCAAACACCCTCATTTTGGATAGGGAAACTGATGCTGAGCCCTCACACCAAGAGAGCTTGACCCCAGAGCCTCTTGGGGATTGAACAAAGGAAGGGTTTCTTGTGATTGTTGTTTGGCTGTGTTGCTATTG